GTGTGGCAGGGCCTTGGCTCCGGCCGGGGGCTCAGCGGAACAGGGGACAGCATTGTCACCCACCCCAGGAGCCCAAACACCCTGTGCTCCCAGAGAACAGACACAGCAGCCCTGCCCATCCACGCTGCCATGCCCTCCCCCTCACAGGTGAGCTTCCTGTGTCAAGTCATGGTTTATCATTCAACATCGACTTTTGCTCTTCAAATTCCACTCCTCTCACGTCACCTCTGCAAATGAAAGAAAGCTTCAACCCCTGACCTGCAAACACAGATTTGCTTAAGCCCAAACAAAAATGTTTCCATGGAAATTTTAGGATCTAGTATTGGAACATGCCTATTCATTTCAGCCCGTTCTTTTTTTCCCCCATTTTCGTTTTTCAACGTGTTTTTCTATGAACTTGTTTTACACCCAACTTGTGAGGACAAAACAAGCTGGCAGATCCCTTCCCAGAGAATATCTCCCTTCCCATGGCTCTCAGCATGCTTGGCCACCAGCCACCAGATTCTGGCATCCCACTCTCACACTCAGAAGGCTTCCATTGAGGAACACTGCAGTCCTCAGGCATGATGCAGTGCCTCAAACAGGAGCCCTGAGACAACTCATCCTGTGACACCTCAGCAACCCTGTGGCTAGCCAAGAACTTCTGTATCCCCCAAAGTTAACCCAAACCATTTTTGGCATTGCCTGAGGGCTCTGAGGGAAGGTGGTCAGCAGATCCTGAGCTAGAGTTGGGAGCACGTGGTTGACTGAGAAGGATCTTCCCTGGAGGATGGCAAACTGTGCTGCCCATGCACTGGGGGCCAGGCAGCAGCAGCCCAGGCTGCCCTCACTCTTGGGGCCACCACTGCTGTTCAAGGGGTGGCAGTGCCCAAACTCCCTGTGGAGAGCAGCACTCCAAGCCCTGGCATGCAACCCTGGGGAAGGCAAACATTTTGGTCAGACTAAGCTCATGGAAGATGATGTGCTGAAGACACGTGCTCTGTTTATGGGATTTCACTCTGAAGCCCTGAACAGGAAGGAGGTGAACCTGCTGAACAGCACCCAGCTGCTCCTGCTCCAGGAGAAGCAGAAAGAGTGGACACCAGCAAGGGGGTGGGGTAGGTCTGCAGGCAGCCCTACGCCCTGATGGGTCCACCCAGCACTGGTCCTCACCCAGCTGAACACTGTGGCACATGTACACACTGGGAATTACTACTCTACAGCAACCACCAAATATTTAGATACACTTCAAGACTTTCCAAGCAGTTATTGCCTCAGGAAGTTGCCCAGAGTTTGCTCAAGAATGAATGACCTGGAATAGGAAGGGAACCCAGCTGGTTTCTGACGACAGCTGCTGACAGAAGCGTGATGCCATATACCAAAGAGGAGAAGTGATGATTCACACCCTGCTTTTCCTCACCTCTTCCTTCCCCAAGGTCAAGGGGACCCACAGATCTATCTGGGTTAGAGTGTAGAAGAGAAAACATCAAGCACACAACTACATTTGCCAATTCAAGAGAAACCTTACTCAAGAACTGCTGGTGCAAATCCACCATCATGGTGTGCTGATCCTACTGCAGCACAACCAGCTGGGCTTCCCCATCGTTACCTCGAGGAACATACTCTGAAAAAGCTAAGCTGGAAAAACCCCAATAACTTCCATTCTTGGTGCCTTCAAGAGAAGAAGGGGCAGAGAGCCAGGCTGCCTGCCAGCCTTTCTGCCCAAGCCCAGCCTCGTGGCAGCAGCACTTCACATGGACCCACTGTCTGAGCCACAGGACAGCACTTTCAGCAGAGATGGAGACAGCTGCTCTTGGTGAGTGGGAAATGATGGATTATTCCAGTGAACTCCTGCACCCTAGCCTGATGTGAACCACTACAAAAGCAAGTCGATGAGAACCTTTCAGTAGGTGGCAGCAGAAATGTATTATCAACCCAAAGGATTCCTTTAGGGACACCCCCTCTTGGCACAATTCCCCATTCAGAGCAGTTTCCAGGAGTGCACTGCTCCAGGCTGGATACTGCACCCTAACCAGGCTATGACAGCGGAGTCAGGTCAAACAGAGAGCTTGGGGAGGGGAAGCTCACTCAGCTCCTGAAACCCCCACGTTGTGTTTCGGCGGAAGCGTCCCTCACCAAAGCGCCTCTTGCAAAACGCGGTAAGTTCCCCATCCCAGTGCCTCAGTTTCTGTGGTCCTGCAGAGCTGGTGTGGCTCATCAGGATCCCTCCTGGCAGTAGGACTTTTGCAAAACCCCACCACACCTTTCAGCTCTTGCAGTCCTGGCCAAGCGAGGCCACTTGAAAAGAAAAATCATTTCCATGCATTTCAAAGACAAATCAGCAACAAGAAGTTGGTGTCAACGCCCACCTAGGCAGCATCTCCCCCTCAGTTCAGACAGCCCTGGGCTCAGAGCAGCCACATGGCCACCTCCAAGGCATGAGGGACAGAGCAGGGGTGAGCCAGCAGTGGGGACAGCAGGAAGCATGACGGTGAGGGCTGCCCTGCATACCTGGCAGCAAGGTGTGGCTTTGTACAGCTGACTCAGGGCTGGCTCAGGGCTCCAACAGGCAGCAGCATGCTTTCCAAATAATCGTTTCCTGTTCTCCCCAGGCGAGATGGAGGAGGAGATGGAAGCAGGCTGAAGGTTTATCAGGCACAGATAATCCCCCTCCCCAGAGCTGCTTGGCACAAAGGCAGCCAGGAGCCACTGCAGGGGCCTGGTGACTAAGGGAAGGACAGCAGTGCTGGGTTTGTGACTAATTATTACTCATGCAAGGAGGAATTTGGAGAGGGACCCACATTCAGCTCAGCTCGTTGCTTGGGATACTTCTGCAGCCATAAGCACAAAGGAGAGCTTTGACAATGAATCAGACCCTGCTTTAAAATGAAAGACTTATCAACCAGCTTGGTGTTAAAATGATTTCAGGGGAACCATAAAGGCAGCTTAATGCTAATCAGAGGAAACAAACCATGTTTTCAGGCTCAGATGAGTAAATGTATGTTCCTGGATGGACAAAACCCTTTAGACACAGCAGCAGAAGTGGGTTTTTATTCATGCATGGTGTGTTTCACTTTCCTCTGAATTACAAAGGGATGTGAGTGGACTGGCAGGAGTTGCTTGAAAAGTTTTCTCTGTTGGGTTGTTGGGTTTTCCTTAAACAAGAATAATCCCCCCCCTCCCCCCCCCAAGAAAACATAAAACAAATTCTCAGATGTCTTTATTTTGAAAGCATGTCTATAACTAGCCTCTAAAGGACAACAACCCCCACATTAATTACCCACTTGCTTTTAAAATCTACAAATATCCACCCAAAAATAAAGGTAGGAAGAGTGAAAGCAAAGTCAACAAATTCCAGTTCTTCCTTCATAAAGCCTTTGCCCTCTCAGCTGCTTTGTGTGCTTACTTTGCAGTCTGCAGTACAGGGAAGACTAACAAAGAATTACTAATTAAACAACTGCCTGCAAAAATCTGGGAGTTTGAAAACTTGTTGCAGTGAATGATTGCTCCAAATGAGAGATCCAGCCTTGCCACTGCATACCCACACACATGTGATGATATAAATACACGTCATTGCAGTCAAATCAGCATTACCCACAACCATTCTTCGCAAAAATGTGGTGGGACATTAGTTTTTATAAGCCAGCCCAGGCCTAAGGTGGCAGATGACCCCTCCAGAGAGCTGGGAATCCCCTTTCCCCTTTGAAATGTGAGAATTTATTTGCCTGTGCCTATAAGATTCCAACATCATGTTTTGCAACCAGTGACTTGTGCACTATTTAACACATGACAAGGTTCTTACACAATTTTCAAAGCAGAACATACTGTTATTTGATCTTTATCTAACAAATTTAACACAGGACTAAGAGCCAGCTTTCAAACAGATCCACCTCCTTCCCTGCAGATACTGAGGAACACTTGCTGCCTTTAAAATCTGCCAGGTGCTGGCTGCACACAGCTGATTTCCATCTGCCTGCAATGAAAGGTGACAGTCACACAACAGAGAAACACCCATGAAGTTCAGCTGTAAGAACACAATCTTTTTGCCACCCTCATTTTTGAGAAACAAGACAGACCTTGAGGCTTTAAACATTAAAAAGCAAGTGAAGTGAATGATTCCTCACAGCTGTGAGGGCCTGTTCTTCATGTAACCATCAGCAGAGTCAGTTTGGGGAACAGAAAGAATTAGAGAAGCATTAGCTATGCCCCAATTCCTCTAGCATTTACCTTAAATTGTGTGGCCCCAGTCCAATGTCAGAGGGCCTCTCCACAAAGCAGGATTTTGTGCTGGCAGCATTAGCTCTGTGTCCATTACACTCTCAACCTCCTCAGTGTTTTGTCATTTTTGAAGCCCATTTCTCTCATTGCTCAGAGTATCTTTCATTTCAAAAATCAGGAATGAGAACACAGATTCTCCTCCCTGTAAGACAGCCAGACCTATAGGGGAAAAAAATGAGTTTTGGCTACTCCCTTCTTCAAAACAAGGCTCTCATGGAGGGCAGAGCACTGGTAGCAGCCCTGCCCATGCAGGCTGAGCTCTGCTCTCCCATGGGAGTGCCTGTGGATGCTCCACAGCTGACAGGCAGGCAGCTGGACCACCCATGTCCTCCAAAAGCAAACTGAGCCTGCAGCTTTGCAGCCTGAAACACAGCAGCAACCCTCAGTGAGGGCACAGCCTCAGACATGGATGACAGCAGCCAAGAGAGTCAAGATGAAACACATTTCCCAGGAACGTCACCAAGTCCAAATGTGTGTGTCCAGAAGGACCTGCCCAGACACCACAGCTGCCTCTGACACCCAAAGCCATGCAAGATGCTGGGTTTGGCCTGGCCTGGTCCCCATTGAGGGGCTCTGCAGCTCATCCTCACCCTAACATCCATCATTTGTAGAGATCCCATAGCTTCCTCCTAAAATCCCATGCAAGCCCAAATATTAATCCTAAACTCACTTCCAAACTCCACCTGTCCCCACCTTAGGTGTCCTGCCTCCCTCTAGAGCAAGCAGAGGGACTGACCTTGCCTGTGCACACACAGGGAAACAAGGGGCAACTGCAGTGACAACGTGTTTCAAACCCTGCTCCCGGTACGTGCGCTGATGCCAGCCATGGAATGAGGGAACAGCAACCTCATCCAAAGTAGAATCTGCTCCAGGCTAATGCACAGAGAGTTATTCTTGAGGCTTCCCCTCTCCAAAGCAAACAGGAGCATTCCTTATTTCCCCCTGGTTAGTTAAAAAGCCCACCACACATTCCTGGGCACTGGCCTACCCCAAGCAAATCATGTGATGAGAACTTCTGTGCCATAAAACCCTGGAAGAAATTGCTCCAACTTGGGAACAGCCTAACAATTGCTACCTTCTGATGAGCATTTTGTGGCCTGCAAAGAGCACCACGAATCTCAAGAGAGCTGTTTTCACATCGTTAAAGCCACCCACAGAACTGGCCTCCACGCTGAGGGTTTCAGTGAAGAATGAAGGGGAGTTGGACCACACCGAGCAGGTCCATCCCAGCCATACCTGCCCCAGGCTGCAGCGCTTCTCCCCAGCCACACCTCACCTGCCAAAATCTCTGTTCCCACAGGGGAAGAAAACATTGCTGTGGCAACTGTCAGAGCCGACTCATCACAGGGGGGGCACCGCCACTCTGCCTCAGGGCTGCAGCAAAGCCATTTTAAAGCTCCCAGAAAAAGCAGATTAGAGAAATGGAAGCTGCAGCACGAGCAGGACTGTGCTCAGGCAACACAGTCAGTGGTCACCTTAAGGCATTTCAGTGCAGCCACTGTGTAACTTCACCAGCTTTGCAAACATCACCTGAGGCTTTAAACATGGAGCACAGCAGTGTTTGAGAGCACAGTGTTCCTTCCTCCACCAGGAAGGAGAGCAAAGGCATTTTCTGCATGGGATAAGGAAATTGGACATGGTGTTTTAGGGCTCGCATGAAGGATTTCTGAATTAGAAATCAAGCCTTTAGGTACAGCTCTCTTGATTATATTTTCTGCTCCAGGCAGCCAGAGAAGAAACCAACCAAGGCTTTATCTCAGCAGCAGTAAACTTTCAGTCTCCCACAGGCATGTGAAAGAATTGCCTGGGAAACAAGCACACAGCTATGCTGTGGTCAGAGTTTCAAACCAAAATCCAATTCCCCCAGAAAGCTGCAGGTTGCTTTTGCCCTTTTCCCGAAGGAGCTAAATTCAGTGGCACACAGCAGACGGAGCTGCCCAGCAGAGCCTCCCCCTTATTTGTTATTTTTAGCAATTTAGTCTGACAACGCCTGACAACTAAACAAGCTGAATATAGCAGGAGAGAAGGGGACTATCAGATATTATCAGAGAAAGCACACAGTGATAATCACTTTCTCCACCCCTAATGAAGAATCAATTTTCCATGTCTTTATAACATCATAGAGTTTGTTCTTTTTAAAATGCCACATTTAAAAACAGAATCCATCTAGGGCTACAATGGAAACGGATAACATTTCCTGAAACAAAGCATTGTTCCACCGCTCACATATCATGTTTCCTTAAAAACAAGGGAAAAAAAACATTACTTGGTTTTTCTCCTAATACTGCACAAACATTGCTGAGCTAAAAAGAGTCTGTGCTCATCCCTTTAGAATGCTTTCAAAATAGATTTAACACATACCCCTTGTACCGTGAAACACAACAAGAATTTGATAGTATCAGGACTGGAAAAATCCAATCCTGCTAAGCAGGACGTGTCCCATGCCAGTGTGTGAGGGAGCTGATGGCACCAATCTCTGGAGGTTTGGGTGAGCCCCGTTGGCACAGCCTGCCAGCAGGCACAGCTACTGTGCCAGCAAGCCTGGGCAGTGTGTTTGGATTCCAAAGGATTAGATACAAGTTGTGAAGCTCAGAAAGCCACACAGGTGCATATGGAGTTGGCAGGCTGAAAACATTGGTGCTGTTCACCCTGGAGATGAGGAAACATCATAGCACCTTCCAGGACCTGAAGGGGCCTACAGGGAAGCCAGAGAGATATTCTCCACCAGGAACTGGAGTGACAGGACAAGGAACAATGGATTCAAACTGAAAGAGAGGAAATTTAGAGGGGAAACTAGAAATTAGAAGGGAATTCTTTACTAATTGAGGATGGTGAAGCCCTGGGACAGGTAGCCCAGAAAAGCTGTGGCTACTTCATACCTGGAGAGAACTGGTCTAGTGGAAGGTGTCCCTGCCCATGGCAGAGATCTTTAAAGTCATCCAAACCTTTCAACAAAAACCATCCTATGATTATACACACATACATTTTTTATATATATATATATATATATATATATCAATATATATATACATGTATATACACACACATATACACTTAGATATATTGACATCCACACACAGCTTTAACAAGAAGAGTAAAGCTACCTTTGGTTTTCTTCAGGTAACTAACTGCATCATCCACACCCAGACCCCTTGGTGCTTTCAGAACACAGCTCACCAAGCATAATGTGTGTCCCAGCCAAGCTTTATTTTCCCAGCCCTTCACAAGGACAGGTCTGGCTGTCCTTGCTGCAAGGAAGCCCAAACGAGCAGCATCCCATCAATTTTGTGATGCTGCCTGGAAAACCTGGAAAAATACAATGCACTGCTTTATCAGTGGAGAAACCCATGAGAGAGAAGCACGGGAATGACTGCAATCATGTACTGCAGTGGAGAGTGTCAGAGGGAGAAGAGAGACAAAACTCCTCACAGTTTTCAAAGTTCACTGGCAGCTGTGAATGCCAGCAAAACCAGCTCACACCTCTGAAGCAAATTAAAGACACATTTTTAGGAACAGGCAGCTGGAGATCTCCTTGCTATGCAGCTGGATGGATTTCCAGAAGAGCTCAGCAATGAACCCAGCCCTCCTCTGCAAACTCCTCTGCAAACAGCACCAAGGTAGAGGGGAGAGCATTTCTCAGATTCAGGAATGTATCAAAAAATACACATTTCACAGTAATGTCATCATACCAAAGCACAATTGCCTCGAGCTCAGCTATGTGAGTAATGAGATCAGCCACACCATAGGGTACTGGGGGATTACTCTGACCAGCCTGATTCAGCTGTGCCAAGTGAGAAATGTGAGTTAAGTCACAAGGTAGTTAACAATGTAAAATATAAACCTAAGCTTTAAACACCTTGCAGTTTTAATAATAAATGGAGAGATGTTTAACCTTTCTTGGTTGGATATTTATTTTACAACCATGTGGTGGAAGCACAAGGTCACAAAGTTTCACATTCTTTCCTGCTTGGGTCACAACTTGTTTTCAGGACAGCAAAATCCCCTGCTCCTGTGATAAATGCTCTCTGAGTTGGACCCAGGTATTTCCCCTGAAATCTCAGTTTCCAGCAGTTGTCAGCCTAAGTGCTTGTCCTCTTCCACGGGGAATCCCAGGCCTAAGGAAAACCCTCTTCACAAAACTGCCACAGCCAGCTGGAAGGAGATCACTTAAAAGATGGACTTGAATGTTTACTTAACACAAACTTTTGAAAGTGTTGGCATTCTGAGCCCTACTATCCATGATTGAAAAGAAAAACCAACCCATGTGGCAACCACCTTTCCACTCCAACTACCTTTTGAGACAGTCTCAGTTTTGAGACTATTGCTGGAAACTTCAATGACCATAACCAGAGATTCAGCAACGAAGCAGAAAAACACATTTGTGAAGCAGCCAGTTCTGAGGCTTGGTGTAAGAACAGCAAAGTTATAATTTGTGGGAAATTCCACCCATTCTGCTGAACTCAGTGATCAGGGAAGTTCAGGAGGTAAGACAATTCCCCACCAGGAACAGGAAGAAACCCAGATGGCACAGCTGAAGGGCACAGTAGCCAAGAAGCTGACCACAGCTGGCAGCAAGGAACCCCAGTTTATAAACAGGCTGCCAGCCACATTCCACCTGCTCCCAAACCCAGAGGTGCTACCAGGCACATTCCACCTGCTCCCAAACCCAGAGGTGCTGCCATGAAGTTCTCCAGCCCCAGCTGCAGGGCTGGTTTTGCACATCCCCTGGCATCTGGGATGGCTCCAAAGGAGCAAGGATACCACTGTTTTTACCACAAAACCATACAAATGACTGTGCCTTGCCTGCACACCCCTCTCCACAGAGCACTTGTCTGGCCTGGGCAGAAAGAGTTCTCATGGGCAGAAACACAAAAACACAAATGCCCTTAAAGTCTGGCAAAGACAACACTCCAAGCAATACAACATCTGGGGATGGGCTTGCTCCACAGCTTCTCAGGCAGGCTGAGTTTTAAGAAGGGATTTAAAAAAATACAGACTCAACTTCTGCTTTAGTATAAGTAGGAGACAACAGAGATAGAACTGCACAGGTCTGAGTGGGTTTGAACACAGACTTCCTATTCCTGCTTGTCCCTTCTTATTTGGTCTCCACTTCACTTTCTCCAAAACAATAACAGATGGGAAAAGCAGCTTGGCACAAACTTGGTCTTTGATTTCTCTGTCATTCCTCAAAGACCAAGAAACAGGGAGTTGTATTAATGATATTTGGGGAGAATTATAAAAAACCACACACTAACAGCCTTGGAAAAGTACATTTTGCACTTCTTCTCAGCAGAGCTGTAAGCTGCAGACGCAGCCACGAGCAGATAGCCAGGATTCAGCAGATAGGCTGGTTGAACACTGCAGCTTGCGCAGACACTGCTTTTCATTTCCTAGATATCCTTCTGTGCCTTGAATACTCCAACCAGATAAACACAAGAACACAGGAGTGCTCTGATCACACTGTCAAAACATCTCCCCACAGATCTGCTCTTCAATAGCAGCCCCAAGCAGATGCTTAAGGGCAGAGAGTAAGGACAGGGCAGGCTATATGGTACTTCCTCCTCATAGTTTCCCACCCTCCAGACATTTTTAGCTCAGGGACTTCCTGAGCAGGATGCCATTTCTACATATTTGGTAATTCTCAATGGATTTCTCTTCCATGAATTTGTGCAATTGTTCTGAGCCAGTGTAACCTCTAAATACCCACAGCACTGGCGAAATTTTACATCACTTATCTGCTGCAAATAACCACACAAACATCCTTTTGCTTGTTTTAGACCTTGCTCTTACTAATCTCATCTGAATGCCTCTCTTCCAATTTTCATACCAGGGCACAGAGGCAACAATCAATCCCTACTGGTTTGTAGATCTAGGAAAGGAACCAAGTGCCTTGAGTGACTTGTTACTGTGCACAATCTCTGTTACAAGTACAACAATCTCTGTTACACCTACAACAATCCCTGTTACAGAGAGGTAAGGCTCTCTGTTACAATCCTTCAGCACCAAAAGTAGCAGGTAAAAACAAGAGATGTAGCAAAGAGTATCCGTAGACCTTTAATGTTTTGCTTTCATCATCATTTGCCAAAAACTTACCTCTAACTCCTTAATTTTCTCTTCAGCTATTCTCTGTTTTTCTAAGAGCTGATTGTGAATCACTCCTTTAGGCTGAAGAATAAACCTACAAGGGAAAAAGAAGAGACAGAAAAAGTTGGGTGCTTTTCACATCAGTGTTCACCAGCTGGGCACCAAGTCAAAGAGCCAGCCCTGCTAAGTGCTCATCCTCATTCCCATGTTCTGCACAGAGACAGCAGAAATTGCTCTGACAGCTCCTGGCCCCAAAGGCTCACCAGCCTCACCCATGCTCTGGGAGGGTGAACATGGACACACAGAGATCTCCCCCTATCATTCAGTGTCCTTGAATGATCTGGAAGTGATTCTGGCACACAGCCAGCAAGGGGAGTCTGTCAGCACCTTCCCTTCACAGGGATTTAAATCAATGGATGGCACAGAGTCAAGGAAGACTCTTGACAGGTAAGAGCTGTTTATTAAGGGTTTAGTGCTCACAAGGTAAACAAACCCACACAATAAAACCAAAGCTTTCCACAGGGAAAGGCTGAGGGAGTTGGGGTTGTACAACCTGGAGAAGAGCAGGCTCCAGGGGGACCTTACTGCAGCTTTTCAATGTAGAAAAGGGGCTGACATGAAAGACAGAGAGAGGCTTTTTAGCAGGGTCTGTCATGCCAGGCAATGGTTTTAAACTGCAACAGGCCAGGTTAGATTGGACATTGAGGAGAAATGTTTCAGACTGGGGATGGTGAGGTGCTGGCACAGGCTGCCCAGAGAAGCTGTGGCTGCCCCATCCCTGGAAGTGTCCAAGATCAGGCTGAACACAGCTTGGAGCAACCTGGGATAGTGGAAGGGCAGGCAGGGGGTGGGACTGGATGGTCTGTGAAGAGCCTTTCCAGCCCACCCTGCTGTGATTTGACAAAGCAGAGGCAGTGCCTCCAGCAGACCCCACTTCTCAAGCCTTGACTTTAACCCAACCCCTCACTGGTCTCCAAATTTCTACACTTTCCCCAACCAAAGGGTTTTTTCTGTGAGGTGGGAAGTGGCTGCTTTTAACTGAAGTTGTGGCCACTGGTTTCCACTTGTTCTGGTTTCAATTGCCAAAGGGATTTGAAAGATGCATCCACAACATCTGAGTCCTGCTTGCTAACAAGAAAGGTGCCTCAGAGAAGCCTCTGAAGGAGCACCAAACATTCAAAGCAGCTCTGCAGCACGTGGCACTGCCATCCCACAAAGAGCTAAAGGACAACTAAGTTCAAACAAATTTTAGGAACCCTTCCTGGTTGTTTTTCATCCTTCCAGACATAAAGAATGTACAAGCTGCAGATTCACCCCCTTCCCTACTTAGAAAGTCCCCCAGGGGATTTAGAAGGAGCCTCCATGGGTCATACCAACGAGGTCAAGGTCTCCTCTAGCACCAACTAGGGTCAATGTCTTCCTGCCAGGTGACAGCAGCTCATGCTCCAACAGTTAAAATGAGCAGCTTTAGACAGGGCACAATCAGAGTGCATTCCCCGTCTGCTACAGAAAATCCTGAAATCAGTTTGCAGAGTCATCTCCCACGACAAATGACATAATTGAAGTGTTTGCTCAGTGCCTGGTAAACACAAACACGGATCTGCCACTTGGCTGGAAACCCAGTGCCCTCTGCATCAGTAACCCAGCCAAAAGGAAAAGTACCTGCCACACACATTCCTGAAATGCATGGGAGGAAAACCGTGGATAATTATAATAGGTTTCCAATTAAAACTCTCTTTGGGGTTGCTATTAACTGAACACAGAAGTGCCTCCTCCTCCTCCCACTTCTCTCCCTGTTCTGCTTCACCTCCTCTTCTCCACAGGAACTTCCTCTACATCTTTTATGGTGCAATTTTCTCAAATCTCTCTCATTTTTTCCCCAGTCTTGGCTCATGCTTATTGCTGGCATCATCTTTGCTCTCTGTCTGCTCCTGTTCTTACCAACACAGCTCACTCAGACTCTTTTTATCCCCTTAATCCCCCTTTCCCAATGGGAGGTGTCCCCACCATTCTCTTGCACACAGTGGTGATGGTTTGGGCATACAGCAGACTGCTGAAATACCAACACAGGTAATTTGTGAAAATCAAGCTGAAGACCATCCTTCTAGGAAAGAAGTTATTTTCATTGCTGGATCCAGCCAGAGAAAAGATAGTTTTCAGGACCACCAGCAAACACATCACTCTGATGCTCTTACCTCAGGCATACAATACCAGAATAAAAATCATTAGCCTTCACATACAACCCCTGTAAACTCAAATTTTGCCTTGTTTCTGCAGTGGCTGCCATTAGTGAATGCCAAAGCTGCAAGATGCCTTCTGTACACAAAGCCATGAGTCCCTTCCCACGTCACTGCTTCCCTGAGCCTGCCTGTGTATGTGAACGTTTCCTGAATTATTTCCTTTTTTTGTGGAGGCAGCAAAGAAGAATACAATCCCTTCTCATTTGCTTCCCCAAATTGTACAGGAAGATTGATCATTTTGGTTTCCCTGACGTCCCTGGTCTAAAAAACAAAGTTCAAAAGCAACACAGCTTGAGCAATTTTCCCCATGCTGCAGCTGGGAATGTCCCTGCTGGGTGACAGGCACTGGGCGATCCCGGCTGGCTCACAACTGCTGCAGGCACCAAAACCTCCAACAAACAACTGCCTGACTTCACTTTTATTCTGCAAATGTCAACAGCAGTCATCAGGGAAAATATCCTCCTTCCCACCCTCCTGCAATGCTCTGGCAGACATGGGACAGCAAATTAAAACTGGATGGCTGAAATTAGCACTGACGAGACTTCTGCAGGCAGCTGGGCACAAACACAACCACCCTGCTTTTGCCTGCTATAAAACAGTGGGATGGAAGCTGGGTCTGTTCACACACTTGCTCAGAAGCAGGTCAGATGTCCCTGAGCTGGGCAGCAGCATCCTGCAGGTCTTCACCAGTGCTGCTCAAAGCCAGTTGAGTTCCCTGATGCAAGACCACGGAGCTTTCAGCCCCAAGGGCACAGGTGCCACCCTGGAAGATGCCAAAGGCCAGGCCTTTGAAAGCTGAACTGTAAATCCACACCCACAGTTAACTGTTCAAATCTGTGGCTTTGCTTTCCAACAAAAGCAGGACTCAAAAATGCACCAGTTTTTGAGAGTCTAGTTTGGGATACACACATCATGGAGATCTTGGCCAAAGTTTTTACCTAAGGAAATAACGTGGTTTATGGCAGCACTTGGAAAAAGCAGAAGTTTGTTCTGCTCATTAGGTAAGAAGTGCTGCAGGGCATTTGTAATAAACCAGAATTTAAATTTAATCTAAATTTCACTTTTCCAATTACCCTAAGTAACACATCAACTTGATGTTTTTTAGGTTTTTCCCTCACCAAGCTGGAGAAACAGGGCAGTGCCATTCTGCTGCCTGGTTTCAGTTAGATGGAGTTATTTTATGTACAGATTTCCAAGCTCATCAAAGAAGCATGGTACATTCTGACAACTTAATTCATCCCTGAGTGAGTTAGTGACCAATCCTTTCAGACACATGAAGTTAATTCTGTGCCTGGAGGTTCAGCACCAGCTGAGAGCTGGCCCATATGAGAGTCACCGAGCTGAGGAGCCCCTTTCTGCTCAGTGGTGCAGAGCCCAGCAGGTGACACAGCAATACTGACCCAAGAGCTGCTTCCACAGCTCTGCTGGAGTTCATGGGAGGCTCCAAGCCCCCAGAGTTTGTGTGCTGGACTGGGATGGAGTTTAAGCACTGCTAATCCACACAGGACAAGCAGCAAATCCAGTCTTCCCCCAGACATGAGTTTCTCTGTATCCTCCTGCTCTCAGTGAAGCGTCACAGCACACACTCCCAGACCTGTCAAACATGACACCCACACTATCAACCATGAAACAGTGATTCAGCACCACAGGGGCAATGACAAAGCTTAGTAACAATCACCTCTTCACACAGGAACTTTTTCACTGTTGCTAAATTACCACAAAAAATATCTGGGTCAGAATGGACAAGTTCACCCCATCTCACCTGGCCACCCATTTCAAAGAGAACGGCCAGTAAAAATAGAACAGGACTTGCTAACAATGGTAAAAACTCAAAACAAACCAAAGAAAATCAGAAATGAAAGTTCAGAGGATGGGGTCCCTGAGGACAGCAGGGCTCAGCCAAACCTGGGCTCCAACAGGAACAGCTCCATGGAGCAGAGCCAAGTGGATGCCAATGGACTGCACCTACAGGCTTGGCTCCCAGTGACTGCTGGTTCTCAAGTGCAATATGGGAACAGAAATAGAGCACAAGTGAACTGAAAGAGAAACCTCACTCTAAATATTCCCACTTGTTTCTATTTTCCTCCCCTTGCTAGCTCCACACCAGGAATTTTGTTTCCCTGAGGCAGAGAGAGTGGTTTATATACACTCTCTAGGGCTCACTGCTAGTTTCTTTCTGAAGGGATCTCTTACCCCTTCACAATCCTAATTTTCTATTATGATTTTCATTTGATCAGTGTCTATATTGCACTCCCTGATGCCCTGGCCCAAAAGTCCTTCAGACTCTTGTGAGGTCAGCAGAGCTGCTCACTTCATCATCTGTCTGCTCCTTTGTGTCACACGTACACACCCACAAAGTGATGATGGCCCAGTGTAAGTAATTCCATAACTCAGCCTGTTTGCACCAAAATGTGCTGTTTACTTGACTTTGAGACATAATATTGGATTCTGAAAGATTTGTCTCTTAATGAATGAGGTTATGGAGATGTTTGTTCAGCACATGCCACTCTTCATTATGACATACAAGTCATTAAAGTTATTAAAGGTGGAGTCACAGTGATGCTCATAGTTCAGGTTTTCCATGAAGAATCCCTACTTTCAATTACTTGCAACTACAACAAACTTCAGCCTTCACAGCTGGAGCTTTCAGTGGCAGGCAGCTGGGCATGAGCAGCCTCTCCTCTGCCCATGGAGTCAGGAAATGTGGTCCCAGTGTTTCCCCTGCCTGCCTTGCCTGGGCAAGAGAGTGTTTGTGTTCAAATATTCAAACCAGGAGGGAAGGAGCCCCACACCAGGGCACAGGACCCCCACACAAACAGTCTGCAAAGAAGCTCTTCCCACTTGGCTCCATGTA